GGGGGGGGGCGTGGTTTCGTTCGGTTCGTCGATTCGTTCGTTTTCGTGCGTTTTCGTCCGTTCTCCTTCGTTTTCGTTTGATTACGGCCGGTTTCGTTCGGCTCATGTTTCAATCCCGCAGCCGCGGCCATGGCTCTCAGCCGCGAAACTCTTTTGTGTTTGTCGTTCATTTTGTTGCTTCGTTTGTCTGGGGAAACCGTTTCTGAGTCATCTTTAGAGGTTTTTTTCGTGTGGACCCCTTCTTTTTGGACGGATTAATTGATGTTGGTTCGTACCCGGTGGGAGGTGATCCGTTGGTTGATTTTGTTTCGGATGTAGGTGCGCTACGCAAACATGTCCCATACCAAAGCTGTGGTGGCCACAGACCTGGTGCATGCACACGGCGTGTCTTACAACTCGGCGGACAACTTCTTGCGTGTTCTGTCGGAGCGTGAAGCTGCAGCAGGCAAGAAGGCAATGTCGTTGATCCGGCTCCGCCAGGAGATCGAGTGTGATGCCACATCACTCGGCCGCTTCTTTGTGAAGCCTGACAACATCTTCTACGCGGACCAGATCCAAGATTTGCAGCAGAAGAAACGGGCCTGTTTGAAGTCTTACCCAGTCCATGTGCGTGTCGTCGGCGCCATCCAGCGGGGTGGCTTGATGGTGGTGAAGTTCATGACGCCGAAGGTTACTCTTCCCAAGGCTCGGCCGCCTGTCGAATCGATTCGGGAGATTGACAGGTCAGGCCTTGCAAAGTACATTGGAGCAGACAAGAACACAGCAATCTACTCAGATGGTGCTCCGAGCTGGCGAAGCTTTGCCAAGAAGCTGAAGATCCCTGTGGCTCAGGTGTCACACCAGCAACGACAATACGCAGTGCAGCTTCGACGTGCTCCTCGGCCCAAGCTGAGTAAAGTCGGAGGCACGCAGTGCATCGATGCTGCTTGGGGAAGCCTGAAGCGCTTCATGCCGAAGCAGGTAAAAAGAAAAGGAAAAATGAAAGGCGTCAGTTGCATGAATGCAACGTTGGAACGCCGTGTGTACCAATGGCTCTGGCGCAAAAACCTCAGAGCTGATGGAGATGTCACGGGACAAGAGTTCCTGCTGCACTTGTCGAAGGCTTGCCGCTGGAAGTGAAAAGCACCGTATGGCGGTTTTCCCGCTGAGCACTTTGGTGAAAGAATTGACCAATTGGGACCGTTTGAAAACCGACAGAGCAGACTATGGCTTTTTTAAGAGAGAATGTCACAGCTTTCATGCCATGTTGCTACAAAGAGAATTTACACCAAGACTGCGTCCAATCATTTCGTGGAAGGGAGTCCTTCTCTCTGAGCATTGTGTCTCATGCTTAAGATGATTGATCCCAATTTATCCTGATTGCTGATGGAAACAAACTCTTATTACTCAGGTACTTGAAATAACAAAAACTAATGTCCAAATTGACGACCCCATTTTTACTCAATTTTCTTGAAATGGTCCTCCTCAGGGGGTTTCAGGAGAGATGTAACACGCCACCCACAGGCGCCAGAAGGCGTCGTCACCTAGTTGCTGTAGTTATAGACCCTCCTTTTTTGGTTCTCCATGAACATCATACCCGTGCGTATTGACAATGCCAGGACTCATACACTTCAGCCAGAGCCGGGTGCCTCTTCTTGATGAGGGAAATGTCTGCCCCAGCCTCAGTAGCATGGGAGGTTCTCAATTCTTCAGAAGGACCAAGGTCTTGAACCTACGACCTGCAACTCTGGTGTACCATTCCATGATACACATTACAAGGTGTGTTACTTCCCTCAAGTACTACGTTCCAAAAGTTACCAAGGAGCATCCAACAACAAACGCACCACATCCTTGTTGTTTGCCTGTATTGCCGCGCAAAGAGGATTCCAGTCATGGGGACAGGCGAAGGTGTTCACAGAAGCCTTGTACTTCAGTAGCAGCTTCACGATCGGAACGTCTCCCAAGGATGCCGCGAACATGAGTGGCGTCCTGAGTGGAACACGTCCAGAGCCATACCGTCTCCATACCGTCTCAGAATGCGTGTGTGTATATAATATATATATATATATATATATATAGTGGGCCCCAAAAAGAAGATGAGCTACGGAGGACAGGGGTTGAGAAACGCTTTATGGTCGAAGAGAAGCGAGCTGCTTGAAAATGGTTCAATTCCGCTTATGGACTGCCCTCGGTTTCATTCTTCCTCCGGTCCAATTTTCGCACACCATTCCATGGTGCAGAACTGCCATGTCGAGGAGCCATCCGCTTTGAGGCTCTTTGCAGTCGACTTCTGCACCATTCGAAAGCAAGGTCTCCACGGACTCTGCGTCTCTGCGCTGAGTGGCGATGAGCAAAGGAGTCCAGCCATCATCGGTGCAGGGACAGTTCTCACAATAGCCTCACGCCCAGAATTCAGTTCAGGCTCACTGAAAGCTTCTGCTTCGGCTGAAACAGTGGTGCTGGGGTGTTCAAAGGGCTCTTTTCCTACCATCCTTTTCAGCCTAGTGAAAGGTGTCCGGTCAACCCACAGGCGTTGTGTCAGGCCGTTTTTCGGGCCACTGAAAAGATGAGTTGCTGTCCAGGAAGCAGGGGGAAATCAAAAAGATTTGCCAAAAGGTTATTGGAAACAAAACCAGATAGTTGAGCAACTTCAAGAGTTTCCTTCCTTCATCAAATCGTCCCCACTCTGTGGACACTATTGCTTTGATGTCCATTGGCGTCTGGGGAAAAAAAACAACTGCAATGGCCTGGGATCCTGCAGTACGTGAGGGCATTCTCCAGAACCTTGCTCCGTTGCATGCAGCAGCCAATGCATTTCTGTGCCTCCAAGTTCACCAGCAAAGTCCGCGTGGATGGGCTCATCTTGATCTGGTGTCTCTTCGGTGAAGCCAAAGCACCTTTCAGCTGCCGGGCTTTGCCACTGGCTTTGCCGGGCGGTCTTTTTGTCATGTTTGGTTCGGATTCAGAGGAGTCATCCGGATGACCAAATGTTCTTTGACTTAGTAATCTAGGGAAGCATGGTCATCTAGGCAATGAAATCCACCTTCAGATTGACCAGTTCCTTGTGTCCATGGGTAAAAATTGAGGGCTTGGAGCACCCATATGTGGTTACAATCCAAGGAGCCAAAATCTGTATCCGCCGTCGACTGCCTTGACAGCGACTGTTCCTCTGCCTCCTTGGAGCCCAATTTGTAATCTGTCCATGCGGTGCGCCTCCTTGCAACAAGGACTGATGTCTGGCAGCCAGAAAGGTGCCGACATGCAAGAAGTTGAACGTGCGCGTGCTATGTTTCATGTTAAAAGAAAGAAGACTCCATTCATCAGGTTGCGAGTTCAGCACTTGGATTGTTGAGCATGTCGTGTCCAGGATATACATCCGCAACTTGGGACCGCCTAAATCCACCAAATCATCTGTAAACATGAGAAACCTGTGGATGAGGCCGAAGGAACATCATGTTATCCCTCCAATTCCTCGGCATAAGAAGAAAGAAGGGTCTAAATGTCTGAAACAAAGAAAACAACATAGCAAAAGGAACCTAATAGGGATGATGACCTCCAACCTAGTAGCGATGGAAGCCAAGGTCCGAAGGTCCGAAGGTCTGAAGCCAAAGACGTCCGATGGCCGCTCCCACGCTCGTCCGAACGCTCACCCCGTCCTGTTGTGATAGATGCGAGCATATCCCTCGGGAGGCCCTTCCACCTCCGTGTCCTTGGGCGGCCCCAGATAGCAGGGAGCGAGCCTCAGCGAGGGCGCGGAGCGAGTTCATGGGAGCAGTAGCAGGGAACCGCGCAGCGAAGTTCGGAGGACAGTGGTTCTCCGTGACAGTCAGCAGTTAAGGTCGATTCATGTTGACTTGTGATTGGTAAAGAAAACGTTAAGCAAAAAACAAGGATTGGCCAAACATCTCCAAATGTGCGGAGTTGTTTTCATCAAACAGTCTACAAAGTGTAAACATAAGAAAACTTGCTGCAAGAGGGGCACTGCCGGCGGGCAATAGGCATCTTTGCCAATGGTTGAGACGCGTTCGGCCCCACCCTTTTTGTGAATTTTGAGCACTCAGCGCTACTGAAATCCTTCAATGGGCATGTGGCGTGTGGGTATGTGTGGTATGGTACTGTTGGCATCACCTGAAGAGATGCTTGATGCTGATGGATTCAAGTAAATTGATTCTTTGGATTCCCTACCCATCGAGACATCTCTGGCCAACTCGAAGCACGCAGGGGCTCAAGAGCTGTGGAAACCACAGTGGCAAGAGTGCTCAAAGGTTGACAATGCACCTTTTTGGTCACCTTGCAGCACCAGCAGCGCATTTCACACCTGCAGGCCCCCTGCACGAGATGTGAAGGTGACAGGGCGGTCGACCTGAAATTCAACTGGATTTGGGGGTAGCAAAAAAATGCAAAGGCTGCAAAGAGAGTCTGCTTGAAAATTTGCAGACACTTCCGCAAACCCACTTCGCCCCTCAAATCCAAAGAATCTCTGCCGATCGTCGTGCATCTTATTGATTCTCACCCAGTGGCACACAGTCCTGGCTGCGAAGTTGCACAACCGCCGACAATTATGTGGCTTGCCTCGAGCACGCTTTGAACCGAGCACCTGCAAGATCCTTGCTCAAGAAGATCAGAGGGAGGAATACGTGGCACTGTCACCACATTCTAGCAGAATGAAGCAAGAAAAGACAACCTTGTGATGTGACCTGCTATTTCAAAAAGAAAAAGAACTTCCTCGATTCAGCCAATTTCAGAGCTGTTGGATTCTTTGCGACCTTCTCTCGTCTTCATCACTGGTCGACTTCGATCACCATCTTCGAGGCACAGCCGAAGACGACCAAATCCAAACAACCCCGCTGATGGAGTTCGCTGCCCCCCCCAAGGCGTTGCTGGAAGCGTTTTTGGACTCTGGACCTCACCGAGCAAGGACGGGGTCTTCAGATGTCTTTAGGGCGTGTTCCCCTAAAGGCTTTGCCAGGTCCCCATCCCGCTGTTCATCCTAAACTATATACAGCAGTTTCTTCATGGCACACGGAAGCAGAAGACAAGACCTTGGTGGGGGTGAAGAGTATTGCTTTCAGGACCATGTCACGCCCCGCCCGCTTGAAAGCGGGCCCGCCTTGCACTTGAGTTCTTCAAGCTGGCCAGCTGCCTTGGAAATCAGAAGTTGAGCACAGTTCTCAATGCACCCTTTGTTCATATCCCGTCTATATTGCTGGCTCCAAAAGGCATCCGTGAAAAATTGGATTTGCTTCAACATGAGGAGGCGTTCATGCATTGTTGAGGCGAGATGCACCAAGGGTCTTTAAGGGGTCTTTCAAGCGCAGCACTTTTTACACTGCGCAGGACCTTGCACAGCTGGAGCGAACCCCAACTTTGGGGACATGTCTCGATGCTCCACTTTCTACAGCATGGCGGTGCAGCATAGCCGGGGCGGCTCTCAACTCTCAAATGTCTCAACCTGGATGCTTGGACCAGCAAATACCAGCCCAACCACCCGTGTGCTTGCCAATCCTCCACACAACTGGGTGGAGAAGAGTCCCAGTGGAGAGTCCTCCACTGTACTCTGAAAATTCTGGATCAAGCCTCCGGCCAGACCTCTTGATGGGAGTTGCTTGAGCTACAGCTAGGTGTGACAATTCCTACATATGTTCATCCAACAAAATGTCTTTCAAATTCCAGGTTTGGGACTCTAGCTTTGATGTCATATTTATCTTTTGTGGAAGCTGTGTTGGTTAAAACTGTGATGTTTCAATGAGCTGTCCGTAAATGAGTTGGAACACCTCTGAGATGACTGCAACACCTCTGATAAGCAACACCTCTGAGTTGTGATGGTGAGAAGACTACCCTTATCAAGCCCTGGAAAGGGATAGGGCCCCGGATTGAAAGACGGCAGCTAGTGATTCAATGTGATTCAGGGTTCCACGCACCACACTGCTGTTATTCAACACCGTTCAATCTACACCTCACTGGAACTGATGATGGGCTGTTTCCAGATAGCTAACACCCTCCACCACGTCTATTCCAAGGGAGGCTTGAACCACTTTTCGTAGGCCATGAAGCCCAGCGTGCTCACACACCTGAAACATCTTCAGCTGCAGGAATCACGAAATCCCTGGTCACCCCAAGCGGCCCTGTTCTGCCTATGTCACCAAATCTGTCCTACCAAGTAGAACAGCTCATGACCCAAGATATCTTGACAGGTTGATTTGACAAGTTTCAGCAGGTCGAGTTGAGAGTTGGAGCCACCGAGTTCTCCTCAATCATAAAGTCCTATTTATAAGGTCCAAGGATTTCTCAAAGCACGGCTCAATTCGAAACATCAAATCGGTAAAGCTACGAACTGGTGTGATTTCGCCTGCCTGTCTATGGTGCTTGCCTGTCTCCCACAAAAAGCACTGACAAAAGACCAGAAAGAAAGTCGGCTTCAGATCTAACTCATGACTTGACTTAGTACATGTTACTACATTTACTACTAGGCGTACTAGGATACGAATGAGGCGGGAACATGTGGACATCTTCGACCTCTCCATTTTGACCTGTTCGAACGGCGCTGACCATCTCCGCGGACGTCCTTCCCCACGTCGCTCCGCGGGCGAAGACGAAACGCCACTGAGTCTCCGAACGTGGCGACTGCGAGAGGACGGCAAAACGGTTGGGACGGAGGACGGTGTGGGGCAAGCTACAAGCGACCATCCCAAGATCTGAAAAAGACCTACCGAAACCATCAGATCATGGATGTTTCGTTTCACAAAAAGACTACAAACCATCAGATCATCTACTAGCATCTACTAGCTGCTTTAGGTTTGTCAACTTTCGGCTACAAAGATCCACAAGAGTCGACCCTGGCTACAAACCCTTGGTCCCAAATATTTGATACTGTCTGCCTGTGGATCTCTTTTCCTATCTGGGTCTACCACTCGCAGACAGAAAAGAAAGGAAAAACACACCGCAACCAACACGTCTTGCAGCTGGATGAGGTCTTGTGGCCATTGATTTAACAAGCAGCTTGCTAGCTTGTGTGGCGGAGGATTGCACACAATAGCAATATCTCACCAAAGCTGCTGTGAACCTGAAGATGATTGCACACAAAATGCGGATTTGAGATTTGGTGGCCTCAGGCTCTCTGCTCAAAAACACTCCCACAAGACCAAAAGACTTTGCCCGGTATAAAGCCTTCATAGCCCGGAGTCATTGTGTTCCGCGCAACAAAAAACAGAACACCCGATGTCGCCTCCCATGAGGATGGTCAAATAGTCCCAGATGTCGTTGGGCCAGGTGTTCTCGCACGCGGAATCGATAGGGAGGGGTGGCCCAGTCAGAGGGGAAGAATCTGTTGGGGTCCAGTCTGACTTGCATAAGTGTATATAAATATCTATATTACAGAGGTTTTTGGGGTGGAATTGGATGGCATTGTGGCAGACCAACAGAAAACACCACCATCTCTGAGTTGTGGCTTGGTCAAGACCAGGGTGACCCTCGTGCTCCCACGACTCATCCAATCACACTAAACATCACTCAACATCTCGAAACCTCGACGAAACCTCCTAAAATCGCCCTTCAAGAATGGTGAACCACAAATACTTGTCCACTAAATATCAAAGAATTATCCACCATGGTTTCTTCACAAAGCCCGCTGTTGACTCCCCGCCAAAAGGAGCCCAATCTACCCCAATCTCTGAACATGGGGACCCAATGGGAGGCCATTTTAACCCCACGACCATCGCTTGAACTCTGCCCCGCGCACCACCGCATGGGCCGCCAGGGGCATCAGCAAGGCACCGGTGGACGCGCCAGCGGCAACGGTGAGGGCCTCCACACGTGGTCTGCTGCATCACGGCGGCATCACGGCAGGGCACGCGTTCTTCTTGGGGGTACAGGACTGAGATCGGCAACGCAACAGAAGCAATATTAGTAGTATGTCTTGAGCATCGAGGATGGAAGAACGTGACAGGATGATTCAGTGGGTGTTCATTTTGGATGCTGATATGTCACGCTCCAGATTGAACAAATGTCCATTCAAATCCTGCAGAGTCCTACGACCGAGTTTCAAACAACTTGAAGCAAGAACTGCAGGTGAAAACCGGATCAGATTTCCACTTCATCTACTACCCATCCCACCTGCTTCTCAATGTGGGGGCCTGCCAGCTCTCACAGGCATGGAGATTCAAAAAGATCGCCTTGCATGCTCCGCAAATACTTTCCATGATGTCGCGGGTCATCATTTCTCACACCAGTTGCCAAATCCCCCGGATTTCAGCGAAATATCAAAGGAACCCGAAGAAGAGCTGGCTAGCATCAAGGCGAGAGCCCTGCACCCCTGCGAGCCATGCCCCAACAGTACATCGAATTCTGAACACCAAACAAATGCACTCCTGTGATACTTAGAATACTTGGTCCCTTGCAGGCCCACTTCTTCTTCGACAGCCAGAGAAACAGACCGACGATCAGTTTCACCGGTCATTCGCCCGGGGTGACGAGGCGCCCTCCCCAGCTGTCCGTAGCCCGACGTTGCACACCCCCCAAAGCACAAACAATGACACAAAATGATGCCAAAGAAAGAGCACAACATTCACTGGCAGAACATCTCTACTGTCAACCCTGGTGCATTTGTGGGTGTTTTGCTCACTTTGTGCGCCAAGGCACCGCGCATGCGAGGCCTTCCTTAGCGCCTGCCGCGCGGAACAACGCGCGTTCGCATCGCCCGCCTGAGGCTGGGAATGGTGCCAGGAAGCTCAACATCCACCTGAAGGGTGGAAAAAGACTGAAGATGGAAGAGGTGAAGAAAGGTCAAAGAAGGGCTGTGGATGGAAAGCTTGGGACAATCATGGACAGTCACCTAAGCGGTGGCCATAGGGAAGATAGAACTGCTTGGATTGAACTGCTTGGACCTATCAGGATGGAACTTATTGGATGATTTATGTGAGTCTAGGCTAGGTGTTTTATTTGCAGTGCGGGCGCTTGGATCCTTTTGGATCGTTTTTGGATGCCGTGACAGCTTTTTTGTTTCAGAGCTGACACCCCATAACTGGTGGAACACGCAGCAAACTCGCTTTCGCTTGGGCATTCACTCTGTCCCTCACCTTGCAGATCCCAGCAAGGCCAGGGCTGCCAGTGCCTGGGAAAGGTAGGGTGTCTCCCCATGTCAGCGGTCGTTGGTCTGTGAGGTGCTATTGCTTGGTAATGATTTGGCCTGATAGGCAAAGGCGCAAAGGCGACTGCTCTCATGTTCTCGTATGGGAATGTTCGAGAGTAGTGAAAACTGAACGCTTCTTCTACAAAATCCATCCAGGAGGAGAGTATGCTTGGGATTGCTTGGTATCAGGTAGTGTTTAAGAACAGGCCCACGCTCAGCACCGAGTGAACTATACTTTGATTCACTTGCTTGTGGTCATTCTGCTACAAGTGGTGAAATGTCAATGCTCGGATCAAGGCGCCCAAGGTGAAAGAGGGGGGGTGTTCTGAGCAACCCGAACTACTGTCAGCAGCAAATTTCTGGGTTAGCTGGGTGACGCATGGACCAGCATTCGGGGGTAGCAAGCCAAGGAGGGGCCACGTGGCTTTGAAGTCGCTTCCAGACCAGCAAGTGGCTACAACTTCTCTCCTTTGGACATTGGTCAAGAGCAAACCACCATGGTGGTCAGTGGTTCCAGACCAGCACATGATCTTGGAGTGGACGGTCGGCAAACCGTCCCGTCCATATCTTCGACTCGTTGGAGTACATTCCCTTCTTAGATTTGAAGCTGGAGCCATGATGTCCATACACGTCGGTCAACGGTTCGCCCCCCATGGAACCAGCTGATGGAACAACAAGCCTCTCATGTGGCTCAACGAAACCAAACTGCGCGGCATCAGGGCCCTGGCCACAGGCAACAATCGCCTGCGACATGCCAGCAGAGGGGAGCCCTGCCAGACTGTGCCCTGAGGAGGGTGGTACTGAACCCTGCAACCCGCGGTGCAAACACTATGGAAAGAACGGATCAATTCAGCGATCCATGCATGTCATGGTCTCAGAATTTGTCCAGCGCCTGTCTCAAAGGCAGGGATGCTCATCTAGAATCGATTTCATCTGAGTTCATTCATCATGGCTCGTGAATCAAATTTCATGTGATCCTCCTCTTGCCAAGGATCGCTGTGAGGTATTCTTTTGCTAAAACACTATGACACAGTCCCGTTTCAATGACCTGTGGGGTCTGCCAAAACTTCAAGACAGAGTCGATCGTTCAAAAACAACCGGTTCCACTAATGATCACTATGTGTCATGTCTTCCAAGACGAGAAACGCCGCTTTGACGTCCATAACCCAGCGAGGTTTTTGGAGCTCAGGTCTACAGTCACCCTCTTGATCCCTCTTGATCAATCAAGGTGGGTGAAAAACGTGAAACACCGGCCCGCTAGAGCTGCCGCGCTAGCGTGCTGAGCATGAAATAACCTCGTGGGTGAGTTCGCGCAGCGACTTCCAACCCGAGGGATGCCGGAGAAACTGCCTCCGAGCGCTCGGCATGGAGACGAAGAAAAGACCAGGCCAAGCACGGATAGTCGCTCCACCCGCAGCTTTGAGCCCAGTCAGGAGGAAAGTCAAGCAGTTCAATCAACACACTCTCTCATGAATGTGAGCGAACCTGGAGAGATCAAACTTGCACTTTTTTGGTCGTGCAGCAGTTTCTTTGGATATCGTGATGCACAGAAGGTCTCCCCTTTTTTCAAAACACCAAGCTTGGAACAACTCCACCTTCATCCACCTTCAATGTCTCATTCTTCCCCTCCCAAATCAAGGATTGAAAATTCCAGTGAAGGTGTAACAAGATCCATGGAAATCCCAAAAACCCACCAGGCCATCTGCAGATGTTTCTTCCGAGCACTGGGTTTTGCTGAGCTTCCGTGCGGTGGTGGAACACGTGTACGGAAAGGTTGGCCCGCAAAGAACCTGCTTTTGTTCAAAAAGAGTTGATGTAGCAGGACATTCCAATGGGTGTCCAATCGACTCCCTACACAACTTAGGGATCTCCATTGGACAGTTGTCCTGGAGGAATACCATGGAATCAAGTGGACGCCCACTTTGTGATTGGGCGAAGAGATTGGCGTATGTTGGGCAATGGGTGCACCAAAAAAACATGGATCAGGTTCTAGACGCAACCTCTGTTCCCCATTCTGCGAGAGACCCAAATTAGAGGCTTTATTGCTTTATGAATCTTTATGATACTTTATTATGGATCTTTGTGAAATCTGAGGTGGTCCGAGTCTTTCAGAACATTGGGCGTTCCAAAGCTGAAATCGCTACCCACCAGAAAAAGAGGACATAGAAAGCATTAGAAAGCTACACAGCAGTTCTCGGGTCTAGATAAATTATCTCGTCTCCAAGAGAAGAATCACCCATGTAGATAAAACTCTCGAAGACTCTTCTTCAACAGCCATCAGTAGAAAGATGTAGGAAGGACGATGCACCATGTTGACAGTTGATAGTCCTGAGTCCTGAGCTTGATACCAAGATATACCAAAGACTCAAGTGGAAAGAAACATCGCAGGATACCCACGACAGACCCGTCACTTGATCCACTTCCGACCGTGAAAGGATCGCCCACGTCCGAGCTCTGCAGGTTTCCGCGCGACGCGGCGGTCCGAGCGCAGCTGGGCAGAAAAAGGGACCGTGCCCGCCAGAGGACCAAACGTCAAGCTCCGGTAGAAGGCAACAGCTCTGTAGTCTGACAATCTGTCTCATCCTCAGAGAAGGGCACAGGAAAAACATGGGGTCTGCCACAATGATGGAGACGCTCTACACTCTTGACGTGTGTGATTGTACAAGGAGTTTTGCAGAGACTTGGAGACTCTAGGCGGCTGTTGAAGAAAGTGCCTACACTATCAGCATCGACAAAAGAGTGGAGGGCAAAAACTCCCTCATTCCCACTGCTATCGCTTGACAAAAAAATCCTCTGAACCGAACCTGATTCACTTGACTGAAACTCCCTTCAATCCACCCTTCCCCGTTCAGCGGTCTGGCAGTCAACCAACTTGGACGTGCTAAGACCAACCTACTAATTTGTAGACTCTTGATGAATAACCCCCCAGATATGATGTCTTACCGTACAAAGACATCTTATTCTTAGTGTGTCACACCTGACCTTTGCAAACCCACCTATACCCGCCACACCTGTTGGCAAGGGATCAGTGTGAAACCCGTGCCCGCAAGTTCGTGCATCCAATTGTTGGCTGTGTTTATCAAGCAAAACTCTACAATATTAAGAAAGCCTTCTAAGCTGATCCAAGTGAACCAACCTTCTGCGAGGATACTCTGCATGAACCACAGCAAGAAGCAGCAAGGACACGATGCAGGTACCGGTCATCATCAAGGAGTCGTATCCTCGGGATGCCAGTGAGATTCGGTGATGACGTGTGCACCCAATGCCTGCCAGGCCTTTAAAAGATGGCAATGCTTCGTGTGGTTCTGTCTTTTTCTGGGATCAATAAGATGTCAGAGCTTCGGGCTACACCAGTGCCTATGCCTTCCCCATATCACCAGACCATTGCCCTTCCGCAATTGGTCTGGAGTCCAGACCTCTGAAGTTGTTTGGATGTTTGAACACTTAGTTCAAACTTAGACTGTTCAATCGATCCAGTTTGGGATTAGAGTCACTTCAGATTCTGCTGCTAGATTCTGCTGCTGCAACTCCATGAAAGCGAGAAATCGCAGTGGAACCACCCTCTGTGGCCAATGACAACCCCACGAGACCATATGTTCAAACACCCAGCTGACGGTGCAAGAACATCAAGAACCGAGTGGCGGGAGGGTACCAACGGAAAAATCCACAGCAATAAAAAGCCCCAAAAGTTCAACAGCCAGGAGAAGGCAGCGCCAGTGACCTCAGGTGCTGGCTGAGTGCAAAGTCTGCAAGGAGATGGTGTCACTAGAGCCCCTCTTAGAGGGACCAATGGATAGTCAGTATAATAGACACACACACACCTAGGCACGTATGAATCTCTTGGTTTGTTCTTTGATCAGTGCACCAGCTCTTTCATTATGTCGATATATATATATATACATCTATGTACCAAAAGTCCTTCAAGGCTTGCTGAAACCCTTGAATCTTCTGGATCCTCTGGATATCAAAAAGAAAATACAGTACTACAAATAAATTCATGATATGTTGATTTTGACCGAGAGATATGAACAGTGAAATCAGGCAGCAAACCACCAACTGCTCACGAAGAACAGTGTTCCAAAGAAGCGCTTGACAATCGCTGCATAATAAGAAGTCCATAGAAGTCCCATATCTTCTCAACACAAGTTTTCATGTTGTTGCAAAAGACTTTGATCATGTCAAGGATGGTGCGAAAGGTAGCTAGTCTCAGATTTGATACCCTAATACTATTGCGCAGGTCTTTTTTGCTGATTTGCAGGTCTGTGCCACGTCTGAAGCGTCCGACTCCTGGAAGTAAGGCCAAGTGACACCTTCTGAATGCGGATAAGTTAATTCCTTGGATCTTCAACGGCAAAATCAGGCATCAGCATCAAAAGACATCCAATTCGGAAAGAGGTTCTTGATCACACCAAGTCCAACAAGTCCAAGGATCAACTGACACCCTGGTGTTTTGACAATGCCACATGATGAACCCAATCCTTTTTTTCTGCATGTTCTTGTTTCGACTGGAATTGGAAGGAACTCATCCCCAAACAGAACATGATGTTCATCTCATCAAAAGTAATGAAAAGGGTTCCAACAGCGCCGGATCCAAAGTCTGATGAACGTCAGGCCGTCTCCGAGCTTCAGCACTCAGTTCGTACACCATCGGTGCCATGGCCCCTTCCGCCACACTCGCGACCACCAGCCAAGCGATGAGCCAGCTCGGAGAGCTCGTCACAGCACCGGACAGTGGCACGGGGCTGTCGGGGAGCGAAGCGGTGAAAATGCCAAAGGCCACCAGTTGCACCAGAAGCATGACGGCCTCTGATGGAGGTTTCCGGGCTCCAAAAGACGTTAGGCAGATTAGCAGCGATTAGCATGACGGCCTCATATGGGTTCTACTCACAACGGCCCCAAAAAGCGTTCGAGGCGAACGCCGGGGGTTCCCAGCATATAGCTGGGCCTGAAAGATGAAACTGTTTGGGAAGACTTCTCGACTGGTCCATCTACAGGTCTATGTTCCTTTGCTGTGTTGGTGCGAAAAATGGACCGCAAAGGGCCCCAAAGGACCAAACTGGCTGCAGTAAACAGTGAATTCATCTTCACCAAAATGCGGTGTCTGACAGGTCTCAGGGCCAGTTTTCGGCCAATCTTTCGACATTTCTTGCCACGACTTTCACTTTCATCCTTGAGAATCTCTTCATGCTATGAGTGGCTGAGCTTAAGCACCACCCAAAGAGGAACAGTTCATGCTGAACAAATCTGCAGAATCTAGCCCAGCACCACAGCCCTGTTTTTTCCTGCAAAACCAAGAAGGCAAACAAAGAAAAAGTGGCGTGTCTGTCTCTGTCTCCCTGTCTCCCTGTCTCCCTGTCTCCCTGTCTCCCTGTCTCCCTGTCTCTCTGTCTCTCTCTCTCTCTCTGTGCCTCTCTCTCTCTCTCTGTGCCTGTCTCTCTCTCTCTCTCTCTTTTCCTTTCTTTTGCCTTTTGCCAAACAGCCCCTTGGAAGACCCACGCCCCCTGTCGTCTCCTGTCCTTCGGTCCATGCGTACGTCATTTCGCACCCTTGCTGTTTGTCTTTGTGTCCTTCGGCCACCGTGAAACACTCGGCGGTACCGCGGCCAAGGGGCCAAGGCCATCTTCAAGCGCCACTGAAGGCCCCAGGCTTCAATCAGCGGAGGGGCGGCGAAGTTGCCGAAGACCGAGGCGCTGGCCGAGATGATCACCAGCCACTTCAGTAGAGCCTCCTGGGGTTCGGTGAAGGATATGCTTGGTGGATGTGGTTGGTAGGATGTGATTGGTGGGATGTTGTGGTAGGATGTTGTGGTAGGATGTTGTGGTAGGATGTTGTGGTAGGATGTTGTGGAAGGATGTTGTGGTAGGATGTGGTTGATGTGGTGGAAGAAAGGGATGCGTGGGAAAAAACCAGGAGATTCAGGAAGGTTGATAGCAATTGAGGGCTTGGCGTTCATGCTTCGATGTTCGATGCCATTGGTATTACAGCAGGCTGGACCCAAGAACTGCAGAAACGTCTCTTGGAGTTGTGCACCCGCCAGGGAGCATATACGCCTCTTCCGAGACATGCAGAGAATTCTGGACAGCGGCTGATCCGTATAGGTGTGTATTAGAATAGGGAGACCTCCCAAAGATCCCCGAGGAACCATTGGTGGGGGGTCTCCCCACTCAAATACACGCCCACATATGGGAGCCATATGAACCAAGGCACTGGGAGCACCCCTTGCAGCTGCGTGGGCAGGGCTGGTGACCAGCATTGGAAGACGCCAATGACAAAGCTGCCGGAAAGCACTAAGAAGGTAGTAGATGCCTCAAGAGGATGAGCTAATGAAACAACCTAGATTCTAAACTGCTAAACAGGCCCAAAAACTCTCCAAAACATCTGAGCATCTCCTCTCAGGGAGTTGACCTCTTTCTTCCCTCCAACCACCCCACCGCGCGCATCCGAAACCACACTCCATCCAACCTATTATACACCCAGACGCCCATCGTTGAAGTGACACCGGGCTTGCACTCCTCCTCTCCACCGACTGGGCGGTGGCACGGAGCTCCTGGCTGTTGGAGGGAGGCACCTTTGGCTTGGACGGCAAAAAGGCCCAGGCCACGACCACGGCCAGCGCAAAGCCTGGCCGATCGGCGAGGTGCGGAGGGTCGGCGACTGAGTTCTGGGCCGCTTTTGGAAGGACGGCGAAATCGAGCTTTTTTGAGGCAGCAAGAGGTGGGAATTCACGGTCAAACCCTTTGTGGAGGAGTTGCATTTCGTAGGACTGGAGCCCTGGCCCAAGGCCGCCTGCTTCGATGGCCATGAGCATCACCAAATCTGAGCTGCTGGAGATACGAAGTCCAAAGAGAAATCCAATGGATGGGCCAGCCATCTGGATCGCAAAGACCACCTGGGAGCAGCTCTCCCTCCCTCTCCCTCCCTCCCTCCCTCTCTCTCTCTCTCTCTGACATCTCTCTTTCTGTCTTTCTTTCTTTCTTTCTTTCTTGTTTTCTTTCTTTCTTGTTTTCTTTCTTTCTTTCTTGCTTTCTTTCTTTCTTTCTTGCTTTCTTTCTTTCTTTCTTGCTTTCTTTCTTTCTTTCTTTCTGTCTGTCTGTCTGTCTGTCTTGCTTGCTTGCTTGCTTGCCTGCTTGCCTGCTTGCCTGCTTGCCTGCTTGCCTGCTTGCCTGCTTGCCTGCTTGCCTGCCTGCCTGCCTGCCTGCCTGCCTGCCTGCCTGCCTGCCTGCCTGCGTGCCTGCCTGCGTGCCTGCCTGCGTGCCTGCCTGCGTGCCTGCCTGCCTGCCTGCCTGCCTGCCTGCCTGCCTGCCTGCCTGCCTGCCTGCCTGCCTGCCTGCCTGCCTGGCTGGCTGGCTGGCTGGCTGGCTGGCTGGCTGGCTGGCTGGCTGGCTGTCTGTCTGTCTGTCTGTCTGTCTGTCTGTCTGTCTGTCTGTCTGTCTGTCTGTCTGTCTTTCCTTCTGTCTGTCTGTCTTTCCTTCTGTCTGTCTGTCTTTCCTTCTGTCTGTCTTTCTTTATTTCTTTCTGTCTTTCTTTCTTTCTTTCTGTCTTTCTTTCTTTCTTTCTGTCTTTCTTTCTTTCTTTCTGTCTTTCTGTCTTTCTGTCTTTCTTCCTTTCTTTCTTTCTTTCTTTTTTTCTTTCTTTCTTTCTTTCTTTCTTTCTTTTCTTTCTTTCTTTCTTTCTTTCTGTCTTTCTTTCTTTCTTTCTTTCTTTCTTTCTTTCTTTCTTTCTGTCTCTCTTTCTCTCTTTCTCTCTCTCTCTCTCTCTCGCTCTCCCTCTCCCTCTCTCTCCATCTCTCTCCCTGTCAACAAAACCCAAGGCGAGCAAGTCCATGGGTGATTGGGACATACTTTGTTGGGTCATACCCAAATGACGTGTCCCGACCAGCAGCGGCCTCAAAGTTGCTAAACGCGAAAAGACGAAAGTAACAAACAGCTTCTTGGAGTCTTGCGCTCCCACTAATGCGATTGGATACTACTTTGAAGCTGATCATTGGAAACTCGGAGGGCCATGTGCAAAAACCATGTAAAACCGTAAAACCCATCCGCCTTCAAATTCATGACACATCCTCCATTTCTAGAGACCTCAACACCCCGATCCCCGAGTCACTCCATTCACATGAGCACTCACCTCCCGTTGGTTGTTGCTCCCCCCGACGTCTCCACATCTCCACGCGACCGAGGTGGCCACTGCCCGTTGGTGTGAAGGGAACCACAGCGCCGCCAGCGCGGATGGGGTCACACAGTTCATGGGTCCAGCGGCACCGTTGAGCGCTTGTCCCAGATGAACGCAGGCGTGCGCGGCGTGCGAGGTGACCCTCAAGCCTCGTCGCAAAGGGTCGGTGTTTGAAAGGAAGGCTGACATCAGCAGCTGCGGTTTTTTTGGGGGGAAGGGAAGGAGAAGAATTGCAGTGGTCACTCAGTAGTCTGAGTCTTTTTGCGTGCGTTCTGAGAAAACAACCAGAGAAACGACATGAAAAAAACAACATGGGCAGCACAAGTGTTTGCTTTAAAAATAATCTGTGTTCGGCGAAACATGTCACATGGGCTACAGGTTAAAGAATCTTGACCTGTTGTTCGATGCTTGCGTCTTTCACATCGTTTCACATGTTGCGCCTAAAATGTTGGGCATCAATCGCAATACCATCCCTGTGGCGGTGAGCACGGCGCCAGAGAGGATGACATGCCAAAGGTGGTCGGCGTTCTTCGCGATAAGGTAGCCCACCAAAGGAGCCACGGGAAGATACATGATGGGCCCCCAATTCCTGAGGATCTCGGCCCCTCAAACACCGAGCAGAAACCCGTCACCGTGGTCAAAGAAGCAGATTGGAACGTATTGTCTTGTTTGTGTTTTGGGGGTGACTTCGGAGGCACAGCTACTGAATGTGCTTTTGGGACTGCCGACTTTTGCTGAGATGTGACGATACCTTGTTGCTTCAGTACTGACCTAGCTTGAGAGTTGACCAGTACCCACCGTACCCACCCATGTCAGGCCCCATATCAACAGTTTCTTTCATGACTAGTGACACTCTCTGAGGTGCTTGTAAACCTGGCTGAAATTGGCTGAATATTGTACTGCAGATCCAGATGTGTCATCGCTTCCATTCTAAAGCCTCTTTCCATTCACGCCCCAAACAAACCAGCCACCAGCCAGACTTGTGCGATCTCCAGATCCCACGGCCTCCGACCGAACCTGGAAGCCCTTCCGTGACCTATACTGGAGGCCATTCTCCATTGACCTATACTGCAGCGCCTGCAGCGCATCAATCAGGTAAGGTTCAGCAACATGTCAATGGACGCCTTGGCATTCTCAAAGCCATAGTACTCAGAAGCGATCTGCGGATTGGCACCTAACTTGCTGGGCTGGCGGGTTGAAGAGCTTCGCAACGGTGTATCCACTACTAGATCACTACTGCATTTCAAAGTACAGTCTCCACTAGCCGAAACGAGGTGCTGTAGGTCACCCAGCCAACTGCTTGCATGAGGCCCAGCCAAAACATACATGACAGCACCAGCCAGCGTCGCGACTCGGGCTCACTCATGGCGAGTTGCGGAGATTTGGAATGTTATCTATTCGTTTCTCTTTCGGTCTTTGAGAAAGGCCTAGGATCTGACTTACTTAGCTCAAGGCCGAAAGGAAGTGACCTCAGACAGAGTGACCGACCGATTTCGGTCACGTCACTGACAAAGGCTCCTGTCGTGTGTTGGAACTCGCTGCGATGGATCGATCTTGGATCGCTTCAAGCTCTGAAAGAAGAGAAGAAAGGAAGGAAGCCTCTTGAAAACCCAATGATTGTTTGGGGGGAACAGCCTGCGCTTTTTTGGCATCTCCACACAGAAACACATCTGCTATCTTCTTCAGCTATCTGATGTTCTTCTTCAGCCAAAGAACACAGCCAGCCTTGACTCGAGCCTTTGGCTGCAGTGCAGTCTCACTCAGAAAAACAAGAAAGACAGGGCGTGCGCCAGCAGCAAGCACTTGCCATCGCCGAAGGTCAGAAATGAAACCAACTCGCACATGTCGCCCTTTCAACATCTTAACGGGGGGAGGCGCCTTCAGGCAAGCGGCGGCAAGCATCTGGAGACCCTTTTTTCCGGTGTCGCTACTATCTCAATGGAGTTCGTCCAAACAAACCCAGGTCTGAAACCGTCTGAAACCGTTGAGAAGGTTTTGCACCGGTTGAGTCGGTTTTTCAGTGATCATGAAAAGTGTCTAGTGGAGCCCGCCTGGACATCTAGGATCGCAGAAGGCGAAGCTTGGCGAGGCAGCCATGGAGGGAGTGCGGAAGAGACGGAAGAGCCATCCGTTGAGTCTGGGGGGTCTGAGTTGAAAAGTGGGTGAGTGTGAGTCGAACTGGGTCAAGACCACAAACTTCTGCAAAACTCATTGCAAGATATGGTAAGCACGGCCCTGTGTGTCATGACTGCTTGAAGGGATGGGTGGAGTCTTCCTTGCAACTTTCTCTTGAAGCAAATTTTGGCAAAGGTTCGGGTGAAACTCCTAGGGGTTGAGTCTTTGTGGCTATTGATGGCTATTGTAGTTTCTGTTCCTTCTCGGCTCGTTCCATGTCATGGGCCCATGCAACTTGTTCTGTTGTCTATCTATATAATTATCTGCTTGGAAGTCAGGATCAAATCAGAAAAAAATCTAGAGTGAGGTTACATCTGAATCTTCATGGCCTCCTTGCAGGCTGTGAGAAATGGACGAACGGGGCCAAGCAGGCTGCGACCACTCAAAGTTGCTCCGACCGACGGGCACTGCGATCTGCGGCAACCGCCAGATTGCAGTCTTCAGCTAGAGAGAAGCTCGAAAAGGATGATAAAATCAAATGAAGTCCAAGTTCCCAACGCCAGCAGCAGACCCATTTCAGCAGCTGGTCTTTTTCATTCCTGATGTTGCTAGGCGATCTTTTTCACCGGGTGAGAACGAAGGAACCTGGCAAAGGGTGGCACAGGCAACCAAGCAAACCACTGGCTTGTTCCCGACCGTGAACCCCAAGCAAAATCTCATCAACAAATGGAAGCGTGGAGTCCATGTTTGCCACTAAAGCTGAAGAAAGACCCATGAAACGATAGAAAGGAAAAACAAAGAACATCTCCTGTGTCACTGGACGCACACCCAGCATGACCCCGCCTCCACAGGCAACATCGTGGCCTTTGAGGCTGCATATCAAGACTCCTGAGGTACCCGCGGCGATTGTGGCAATATCTGCGGTTCATAGGGTCGTGAAAACCCTCCGGGACCTAGACCTATCCCCTCAAACTCAAAATACCGGCGGAGAAAAAGATGGAGACGGCACATGGATATTCATCTCCACAAAAAGGTCCAAGAAATCTCTGACTCTGATGCAAACACTGTTTTGCTGACAATTGTGTTCCATTCTAAATTGCCTTGAGAGGGTTAGCCACTTGGCCGATGAATGCTCAAATCAAGCTGTACAACCACTTCCTCTGAATTGCAAAATTGATACACCCACATGCAGCCTCGTGAGGTGCAAAACTCGTCGGCCCTAAGCTAGGCCCTAAGGACATGGGAGGGACATCTGGGACTTCTGTGTCTCTCTCTCTCTCTCTGTCTGATCCAAGGCTCACGTCTTCTCCCTCCGCCAACCAAAACGAGCCAAAGATCCGACCCAGATTCGACCGGGTGCCCCGCTTCGGCCAAGCTTCCGCGCGGGTTCGATCCCGCGGAACCCGCGCGGCTTCGCCGCTCGGCCCGCCCAAGCGCGGGAGGTTCCCCCGGCCTGTTCCGCTAACCTCTGCGGATGATGTTCTGCGTATGGGTGGTGTACCTGAGCAGACGACGAGCCACATGTTTCAGGGCACTGGCCGGACAGGCGTCGCGAAGCTGGTGAGCCTGGCGAAGTGCCTGGGGATCGGTGTGTTGGAATTGACCCCAAGAGGCATTTTGCAACAGTGAGGGGGCTTGAATTGCGCCTATGCTAGCAAGCCCTGTTCTGCCATGCATTTCTATTCTTGGGGGACCCTTTCCTCTCTTCAGGACGACCAGCTCCCTTTCAACAGCTAACAGATGCTAACAGCTGGCAGCTCCCAAACCTTGTATCAATGCATCAATCACTCAGCTACTGCTCATCCTGTTTCTGATTCCACAGATCTTGGCGCACATGTTGTCCTGATGCTTGGTCATAGCGCAGGTCCTCAGTTGGAAAGGTGGAAGGTGACAACCAAATTGCAAGAAAGACATGGAAGCGAGGCTGGGGCCGATGTTGTCAGAATGAGCTGCAAATCAACGTGCATCCTGAAAATCACTGGGCTGCAGATGAAAATGGTCTGGTTCACCATAGTTTTCAAGAGGGTAGATTCATTCCTCTAACAACTCTTTTCACATACTACTGTGGTCAGCAAGTTGGACTTCAAACAGGTCAAGACCCGCGCGGTTGATCCTGGTTGATCTGGTGTATACAGTCAAATACCTCTATATACTAAACCAGCTTCAAGGTCCTGAGACCTGCCAGATCTTCCAAGCAGAACCTGCGCCGACAACAGGATCATGAGAACCTCTCCAGCGCAGAGAAAAGCTTCGGCTTCTACCCTCGGAACTCACCCCCCCGGATCAAGTGTGATGTGTCTTTGCTTGGATCACTTTTTTTTATTACATTTAAAAAAACAAACACACCCCTGGCCAGCCGCGGTCTTCTTGGATGTTCAATGCAAAAAAAGATTGGCGCCGGTCTTCTGGTGCTTTTCGGTGCGTCCTTAAAGCCTCCGTTGCCCCCACGGCACGTCTGCTCCGCGGACCGTCCGGCAGAACCGGTCCGGGTCCCCGAGCGACTTGGGATACGTGACGCGCGTGGCGCCAGTGGACAGCCGTGGCAGAACGCCGTCATCGCCTCGGAGGGAGCGCATCTGCCGGATCGGACAGGGGAGGTTGGAAGAGATGGCTTCCGAACGTTGCTTTGCGAAGAAGCTCTAACTTGAAAGAGAATGTTTGGGCTGACACCTGCATGCAATCATTGAAACAGTTGAATTACTTATTGAGGCGTGCATTATTCATTTGGTCAGTTCTGAAGTTTGCCCTGGCGATGGGGATGTGAAAGACCTGGGACAGGGTGGTCTGGGTCTGGGCGACCTGAGTGACCTGACGATGGGTTCTTGGGCTGCAAGGCTAGCATTTTTGAGAAGTAGCGCTCAAGATAGATACCCCAGAAATAGAATGAAATAGGTCACCAGCAGCACCACATTGAAATCATGACAAGCGTCTCTTGTCAACCAAAAGGAGAATCTTCATCAATGAGTATTGTCTTTGCGGGTTAATTTTGAGTCCCCGCAACCCAAGTCTGCTTTGTCAGAGTCTGAGGTGAGAACTCAAGTGCCATCCAATCTCCTGCATTTGGACGAAAAAGAAAAAGCAAAGACCAATGAGCAGCTTCGCTTCTGAGGCTCTCCGGAGAACACACCCCAACGAGTACGAGTACGTGGAGGGACCCAGGGACCAATCTCAAAGGTCGCCGCGGAAGAAAACACATACTGACTGCTACAACTCGTGGAGAGCAGCTGGGGCAGCCAAATCTCAAAAAGATCAAGGCCCCAAGGGCCCCAAGGCCACGCACCGGTGGGTTCAAAAAGAAAGCTCGGAGGCGAACCCGAAGCCTGGTTAACCATACAGCTGCCACGGTCTTAAGGCGACGTCACACCGTGCAACATTGCTTGCCCGGTGAGAAACTAATACAAAACATCTTATGGAAAGTGAATAACCAACTTGCTTTGGATTAAGAGACATATAGTCTATCATATAGTTATCCGTTTGTTACTAGTACCTTCTTGCTAAAAAAAGTAGTGGCCTCCAACCTAATAGCGATGGCCTCCAACCGTAGCTTCTTGCTTGTTTCGGACATGTTGTGTTATGTTATTTCTAGAAATGGCTAAGTGAAAGTTTCAACCAAGGATTGATTTGTTCGACACACTAGCAGCAGCTTGCAGCAAAATCCTTCCCCTTGTCATCGAATCCTCCCAACCTTCCAACAAACGATATGCAGCCTTAGGTGGTTTGGTAGCCCAGCTGGAGGCATCAAAATTGAAGCCAAATCATCCAACTAGATTTGGTTTGTCCTTCGGCCCAAGAAGAAAGTCTGCAACAGAATCGGAACCTTTGGAGAAAGTGAACTGCTCTTCGCTGCCTCTTGCGATGACGTTCGAACTCGCACATGAGTTTCACATCGGCATCAGCCATGGTCTTGTGGGTTCGGTGAACAGGCGGGTACTTGTCACCCTGAAAATGAATAGTTGATGGGGACGCCTTCGCCACCATTTGTTGGCCCAAGAACAATACAGGTATGGTGCAGTGAAGTTCAGTATCGTTCAGTATGGCTCCCTTATTTCGACACCACCCTGCCACTGTTGTGTGAAAGGAAGAAGCAGTCACCTGCTAATCACCTGCAGGTCAAGCAGTCTTCTTTCGATCTGACGGATCTGGTCTTCGAGTCGTCTCGTCTTCGAGCCGAACCCCTGTAGATCCATCCGCTCCATGTTGATGTTCGGAGGATCATGATAAAGATCTCGCGGCGAGTGCATGGATCTGCGCAGGGATTTGGCCGACTCGTAGTGGGTGTTAGGGCATGGGTAGTGGTAGTGGCAATGGTGGTAGTGGTGGGCGTGGTGAGGTTCATGTTGATGCTGTTGGTTATTTTACTTTAGCCGCATGCAAATGACTGGTTGCTCACATGCAGGACCGTGAAAAATGACAACTATTCAAAATGACCCATTTGTGTATTGGAGAATGCTCACCTGTTATGGTCAAGGAGTTGACATTGGCCCACTGACTGAGTTCTGGCGGGCTCGGGGGGCCAACGAGTCTAATTGGAAGGTGAAGCAATGGAATACCACCATGATGGCTATAAGTGGAGAAGTCGGAACAGCAAGAAGAGCCAGCCCTTTAAAAGGGTTGTTTTGTTCTGTAAAACTGCCAATCGTTCAATCTCTTTCCAGGTCCTAGCCTTCATTGGATAGACAGATCACTTATGAGCATAAAAGGTCTCTCTAACTGGAAACTTCTGTGGTGGACCATAGCTTTAGAGTCTTCTGGGATGCCTTGCTTGGACCTGCCGGTGGCCCTCCACTTAACCGATCCTTCCTTTTTCAAGATCTTGCGGCAGCTTGGAACAGCTGGTCCTCTTTGATTTGTTGCTGTCTACCCCCTGGCAAGGTCCAGCAACTGATTATATATATATATATATGACATAACTTTGATGATGGCACGGCTGCAGGCCAACATGCA